AGTACAGGCTAAACAAACACACTGTTTGCTTGGGAGAAGGGCTATTTCTCTAAAACCAGGAACACCAACAAAAGCACAACATGTTCTGTGACTCTTGCAAAGATGAACCAAGAAAACCCAAACCCAAAATACAGTTGAAAACAAAAAGCACACACACACACGTATAGATATATATATATATATACATATATATATATTATGCATACTATATATATATATAATATCAATATAGTACAATATAATGTAATGTAATTTAATTTAAAATAATATATGTATAAATGTATATATAATATTGCAATATATGTATGACATATAATATATAGTATATAATATATAATGTATAATATATAATATATAATATATAATATATAATATATATATATCTAATATATATATATATATAATATATAATATATAATATATATATAATATAATATAATATATAATATATAAAATATAATATATAAAATATATATATAATATAATGTATATATACAAATATACAATACAAATATCAAATATAATATAAATTGAAATATATAATATATTTTAATATATTAATAAATATATAATATATATATATAATATATAATATATATATATAATATATAATATTCAATATTTAATGTATAATATATAAAATATAATATAATAATATATAATATTTCATATATAATATATAATATAATATATATATATATATATTATAATATCCATAATATAATAATATATATATATATGTAATTACAATATACTTATATACACTGAGACTTGGAAGTAGGGAACCATTACCCCTGACGTGGATATATGGGTTTGTGTTTTTACTTTTGGGTTTGGTTCTTCTTTCGTTTTGATGCTTTTTGGTTTGGTTGTGTTTTGTTGCCTCTTTCCAAGAGTCTCAGACTGCTGGTTCTTCTGGTTCTTTGGTTTCGTGTTTTTTGATGTATTCTTTCGAAGAGTCTCAGAAACATTTTGTTTTTGTTTTGCTTTCTGGTTGTTTGGTCTGAGCTTTTGGTGTCCTCTTTCCAAGAGTCTCAAAAACATGTTGCTTTTTGTTTTGGTTTTCTGGGTTTGGGGGCTTTTGGCTTGGGTTTTGTGGTTTGTCTGATTTGGGCGATTTTGTGGTTCTGGAAACCTGCAAACGTAGATCTTGGGGGGGGCCAGCATGCATCTGTGTTGAACTGCTCCCTCGCGAAAGTGCCCAGTGGTGAAATCTCCGAGAGCTCGCCGGGCCCCGCGGCTTCTGTGCGACTTCGGCTCGAAGACTCGCGATGGTCGCCTGCTGCTGAGAGACCTGAAAAGTCCACTTCTTGCGGGGGTGTTGAGAGGTGGTTTACAAGGAGCCTGCCCTCAGCTTGGCTCGGATCCCGGCCTGTGCTGACAGCTCGGCAATTTGCTTGGCCTGACAGGCAGGTGAAAGAGGGTGCAAGAGGGTGCAAAAAAGGGTGCAAAAAAGGGGTGCAAAAGAGGGTGCAAAAAAGGGGTGCAAAAAAGGTGCAAAAAAGGGTGCAAAAAAGGGTGCAAAAAAGGGTGCAAAAAAGGGTGCAAAAAAGGGTGCAAAAGGGTGCAAAAGGGTGCAAGAAGCTCCGACCGCAAGCTTCTATCAAGATTTCAAGAGTCAGCGAATCGAGGCTCTTGAATTGCAGAAAAAGGTGGGAGAAGGTCGTCATCATGTCGTAATCAACAACGAAACCTTCAGCAAAGAAGGGCATCGGGCTGAAGCGTTGCCCATTGAGCTCGAGTTGTACCCCTAAAACAAACCTTCCGGACTTTGTGAAAGCAGAGAAAGGGCACGGCCTTGGCTGAGGCGTCACGGGCATTGCTCTGAACCTCACAGCACGAGGACAGAAACCTGAACTTCAAGGGCCTGTGACTTTTCATCCCCTTTAGGATTTGGAACGCCAGGCTTGATGCCACGCCGACACAAGGGCCTCCTGGCTCAGGGCCGTCTTCTCCTGCGTCAGCTGCGCGACCTCGTCCTTTAGCCGCTTCCTGGGATTCGTGGGTGCTGGTGTTGAGGCCTCTGAAGGCCTCTGAAGGCCTCTGAAGGATCTGGGACCTGAGGCAACTCGGGGGCTCGTGGCAATTTTCAGCCTGAGCGGCAGCGCCTCCTTCTTTTTCTTGTCCTTCTCCTTGTCCTGAGCCCACCCCCCCCTCCCCCAATGTCAAAATGGATGCGGGGCTCTGAGGTCCCGGCACCCTTCAAAGCACGGCCTTGCCTCGGCAAGAGCTCAAAGGGCTCTCTCTCAGGGCTGAAGACCCCTAGTAGGCTCCGTTGCGTGTTTCTTGTTGGGATTAGGGCTCTCTCTTTCTGGGCTCGGAATTCCTGAAGTCCTTGAGCCCAAAGCCCCTTAACGCGAAGAAATGCATGTTCCCTATATCTACAGTAGGTTCTGCCAAATCACGATCCATAAAATCTTCAACACTAAGCCTGGATGCCCTCATTAGCCAAATCCAAGGTACCGGAGTTCGCCAACAGCCGAGCCCACAAGAAGCCTCCGTGATGGTCGATTGCCGGTGTTGTCTTAGGAGTTCGGGTTCAAGGGCTTCGCTCGTCGGTTTCGACAAGGGGTTCGCACTTGAGTGCGTGTAGCTGCAGCGTGGCAGCTTTGGAGTGCTCAGGGTGTATGGCTTAGGCTTAGGCTGGAGGACGCAGGGCTTGACGGCTGGCTCGAAATTTTTGGCCTGGACAGCTTGAGAACCCTAAATTGGAAAACCACCTCACACTGGTGCCAACACTTGGTACTGCGGTGGTGTTCCGCATCTCCAGAAACCTGCACGATTGTTGGTTGGAAGCAGCACGTGGAGAAGTGGAGGCGGCAACTCCAAGAGATGCGCAGACAGGCTAGTCGCAACAGGATATATTTGCAAACATGTGTTTTTTTCATACACATTGTCGTATCCACAAGAAAACCAACAGTCTGAACGATTCCATTGGGATATGAACATTGATTGGCAAAGCATACCCCCGACGATCTACTATGGTGCAACCAGATACTTACCCATACTGCTTGTTCCTTCTTGCAATCGAAGGGCCAGAAGAAGAAGCAGCGTCGGATCACAGCAACCATGGCCACAGGTGCGCACCGCAGCTTAATATAGGTTGGCTTGCTTGTCATGCAGGAAGGCACTTGTCGGTCACGGTTCGACACGAGGCTTGGTGCAGCGCAGGCTATCAGTGAGTAGCGAACAAGGTTGGTTCTTCAGGGGTCCCTCTGGGTTAAACGCTAAACCTTAATATTATAAATTATGTCATACATGGTATAAAAATGAAAGGTAGAGATATATATATATATATATCATCTAATGGAAGTAAGACATGAAAATCTGTGTGTGTATATATATTTATTTATTTAACATAATCAACGCATGGGACACCCTTGGCACCTCAAAACTTCAGGATTTACGGCTTAGGGTCAAACCCCCTGTTCCTGTGGCCGAAAGCCGAGCTGACCCCCACCTCTCCTCAGCGCCAAGGCCAAACCCTAAGACTCCTTGAGCCGCAAGCTACGCAAGCGGCACCAGAAAAGCAGAAGATGAAAAAAAAACAAAAAGTCGAAAGAACAGAAACGACCACAACTCTGTCCCCCCCTCCCCCACCCCCGCGCCTCCCCAGCACAAAAGGCCAGGGCTGAGGCTTTGGAGACTTCGGCGACCTGAAGATGCAAAAGAAATTGTGTTTCCTCAATCGCGTTGCCATCTGGCTCAAGGAGGGCCGAACCCGAAACCTTGCTGCAACTTCACCAAGTGACCAAAGTGACCAAGTGCCAGGCTCCGAGGCTATCTTCAGGCAGGTGATGCCCAAATGACAGAACCTCTCTGTGACTTTCTCTGTGCTTCTTGCTTCTCGGGTTCCGTTTTATACCCTAGGGGTGTGTCGAGGCCTGTAAGCTACTTTTCGAGTTGGATCGATGCCCGAAGTGTAAAAAAAGGCTTCTGGTCGGAGGGGAGTAAGTACTCCAATTTTCAATCCACGGCGAAACAAGGCTGTTGCTGGACCACTGGACGACCAAGATGACTGGTCGAATGTGTTGCTCTACGCAAACACATCTACGGCGGTATCACTGGCTACCCACTACAGAGAGAGTCGCACTGCTGGTCCTGCGGCCGCCAGTGCTGTGGCAGCTCGTCCCATCCCAAAACCAAGACGTTCTCTTCACATTGCTCTACCCACAGGAGAACAAAATGCAAGGCACGCTTCATCAGGGCGTTGCTGGGCCTCTTTGTGGCAAGAACGCTGCTCCGTGTCCGGAATCTGCTGTGCCCCATGTTGCACCCCTTCTCGCACGCTTGTACCGCAATCTGACCAGGTAGCACGTTTTGGCTTTGCTATGCTTTGCTATGCTTTGCTATGCTTTGCTCAAGTCTGCCACTCTCGCCACTCGGACATGTTGATGAGCAGCCGCGGATCGAAGGCCTGCAAACTTGCATAGGAGGCCAGGACCTTTTGCCAGTAGCAAGCGGCTGCAGTTCTTGACAGGTGCTCTCGCGCGTAGGCCTGTCCAGCCTTTGCGATTGCCTGCGCATCAGCATCATGCTCGAGCAGCCACTGCAAAGTATCTGTGAGGTTTTGCGTGCTGCATCGATCTCGCGAGATCGGCACAAAGTGGACCCAAGGTGTGAGATCTTTGTAGAAGAACTCCTCGTACACTGAATCCTGCTTCAGAACCACAGAGCCCATGAAGAGCAGCTTGAGCAGGCGGTTGCTGGCAGCAGTTCCGTCCAGATGCAGCAGGAACTTGTGTTGCGCATGCTCAGGCAAGGATACCGGCTTCACGTAAACCTGATTTGGATGTTGATCTTTGACAAAGTTGGGAGCTCCTGTTAGCGCCACATCTAGAAGATCCTGCAGGGCAGATTTGGACAGCTCGGCATACCATCGCCGATACGAGAAGGACATGGACATGTCGTGGGGGGCGACGCAAGGCTCCTGTGGCCTGCTCGACAAGTGCTCAGTGAAGCTGTTCGAAGAGGCCCAATCATGGCCACGAAAGAATGCCCTCGGCTGACGCGTCTTCCATGGATACTTTTCCTCCATCTGTTGTTGCCATCCGGCAGACTCCCAAAGGCCAAAATTCTGATCGATGTGACCCGAGGAAACTCCACCAGACTCTTCGTACCACGTTTGTCCCGGAACTGGGATGTCCCAGTGAGCTCTCGTAGTGAGTGCGGACAAGAGCGGCAATGGACTGGATCTTGCTCTTTCGAGATGTGCCTCATCATGGACGGACAGGACAAACAAAACATCCGGAGGCTTCTGTCTTTGAAGCCGTAGAGACTGCTCAATGAGACGAAGGGTGGACCTTAACCAACCTCGAATCTGACTTCCCGTTCTTCGAAGGAGTATGTGGCCATCGATGATGGCCACTTCTGCAAAGTAGAACTGCCAGCCGTAGATTTGCTGGACAGATGCTGCCAGTTGGGTGACATTCTCAAAAGTGATGGGGCCATGCCTTGCCAGCGGTAGGAAGGCGCTCCAGATAGCGCCCTGGCTCCATGGGCTCGTTGGGCAAAGCGGACTGGACCCAAAGAAGTCTTCCAGGCCCATGGCTATGGCTGCGGCGCATCTGGGGCCACATCCACGAAAGCTGCGGACCGCACTATCCACGGCACCAGCAAGAACCCGTCCCCTTCTGAGCCGGCGGCCCACTCCATGTGAGCGGGATAGGAAAGGTCGTGCCTGCACGCCAACGAGGAGGGGCCAAGGGAAAAGATAGGGAGTGCGTAGCATGGCCAGTATGGCGGATTAATATGCATGTCTTAATCATGTGAAAAAAAACAAGCAAATGATGCAAATAAACATCACATCTCATTTAAACCTTAAGACAACTCAGCTTCAGAAAACGAAAACATCGGGGCGAAGAAGAGCCAGGGGAGGCGGGGGGACAAGCAGCTGGGGAGTTGCGCCTCCGGGTGCTGGCCATGCGGATGCCGACTCGGCGAGGCCCGGAGAAGGGAAGGTCCTGGAGTGCCTTCCACGAGGATTTCAAATCTTTTATTCGTTTTCTCAACAGTTCTTATGGGGAGGGGGGGGGGAGGTATTTTAGGTGTTTTAGGGGTTCAGGGGACCTCTGCCTTGACTCTCTCTCTCTCTCTCTTCTTCTTCTTCTTCTTCTTCTTCTTCTTCTTCTTCGTCTACCCAGCGAAGAGGCCCCCCCAAGGAGGACCCCGGCCGCTCTGGCCCGCTGCTCTGTCCACAGGTGAAAGACGGGTTACCATTCATTGATGGCCCCTAGCGACTCAGTAACACCGGGCGAAACGGAGACTACAACGGCCCCCCTCACTTTCTGTCTCTCTCTCTCTCTCTCTCTCACTCTCTCCATCTCTCTCTCTCGCTCCCTCTCGCTCATTTGGGGAATCTCCCGTCAACATCCGAGAACCGCATTCGGGGCTGTCGGCCCAAGTGAAGTGAGAGCCATCCGAAGCCTTTCTAGGAATGCGCCCAAGTACTTTAGATGGCCTCTGAAAAATTCAGGAGATCATCTTCTGCAGTTTCATGGTGTTGCGGAGAAGCCCCCCGAAAAAGTAACAGAAAGATCAATCTCTTAGGAACACCGCAACGTATAAGCCTATCCATGTGACTTAACAAGAAAGGGGCCTCGGGGATGAGCCACACCTCTTTGTTCCGCCGCCGCAGCGACGAGCCCTCAAGGCCGGGGCAGGCACCGAACCTCCGCGCTTCGCACTTCGTGGAACTTCGTGGAACTTCGTGGAACTTCGGGGGGCTGCAAGCCCGGGCTCTTACATTCCACACACAGAAACACGGGAGGCTAAGCAGCGTGCGCGTTAAGGAAGGCGCGCTTCACGGCTAAGGCCTGGAAGGCCCCAACCCGCAAAGTCCGCAAAGGCACCAGCCGGCCAACCCCAGCAGACAAAGCCGATACCCTTTGACACTGACACTTGCACGGAAGCCGAAAAAAATTTCACGAGGCCTCGCGGATGCTAAGAGGCTCGAGAACCTTGCTGTCGCCAGGCGCGGCCTCCGCTTCTCTCCCACAGCGCGCTGACGGGCGCTACTCTTTTGAGTGCTGCCTCGGAGGACTGCGGCGCGGTCTTGCGGAAGCGCGCCACGAAGAAGCCCTGGAGCACTTGCGGAAGCCGTTGCGGAAGCCGTTGCGGAAGCACTTGCGGAAGCACTTGCGGAAGCACTTGCGGAAGCACTTGCGGAAGCACTTGCGGAAGCACTTGCGGAAGCACTGCAAAACGCCCTACTAGCTCCACTCCTTTGGCAACATGCGCAACGTCCTGATGATCCTCGGGAACCTTAGGCACCTTCTAAAGACCATATGCAACACACCTTTTAGGAAGTTGCCCACATCTGTCCACTGTCCTGGGTGTCTGAAAGCTGTGGCCAGCATCTCAGGCTCCCATCTACCGTCTGCATGGACTCGGTGCCTGGGCTGGAGCCGTCCATAAATGGAAAAAGCAAGGTCAAGGAGAATCCCATAGAATGCCCCCCCGCTCGTCCGCACAACCGCAAGGCTCTGCCTGCAAGGTCGTCCAGGGGCAGCCGCTCGATGGCTTCTGGGAAGGACTCTTCGAGAAAACGGCACCTGTAGCGCCGGCTTGGAGTGTTGAGCTGACATGAGGTGACATGAGGTGACATGAGGTGACATGAGGTGACATGAGGTGACATGAGGTGACATGAGGTGACATGAGGTGACATGAGGTGACATGAATTGTGGGTGTCTTTTGGTAGGAATAGATCTCTCATGAGCACATGACTTCTCTCGGAAGCGGTGCTTCGAGCAAATCCTCTCCGAGTGGCGCACACTTCCTCATTCTCCTGGACGTTCAGGGTGCACGTACCTCCGTGCCACTGCAGCAAGCTGAGCTCCACACACATACATGCTCACAAGCATCGAGAAAAAAGAGAAAGAGGGAGAGAGAGAGAGAGAGCGAGAGAGAGATGGAGACGCCAAGAAAGAGAAAAAGAGCGAGAGAGAGGGCGATGTACCGAGAGAGAAAAAGCAAAAGAGAAAAAGCGAGAAAGATAGCACAAAGAAGAAAGAAAGCCAGAAAGAACAAAGAGCATCGACAGAGTGCGAGTAGACATATTCTATTTCTCAACGGGTGCTCTCGCTCTGAAGAAGCGCGAGCGTTCGCTTCTTTCACGATTTCTCTCTCAATCTTTCTTGCGCTCTAGCCCTCCTGGTACGGAATCTTCCAGATTCAAGTGGGCCCCGACATACCCAGCACTATCCAGCAGCCCTAAGAACAAGCAGCAAGAAACTCAAGAAACTTCACCTTTCAACTGAGGCTCTGTAGACCAACACGCCACCGACGCGCAAGGCCTCGTCCACCCCATCAAGAATTAGCATCGCTCTTTCTTGAAGAGTCACGTTGGCATTGGGTCCACACCCCCTCGCCCCCGAAAATAAAAAAGACAAAACAGGAACTCAACTTAGCTCTCAGATCTTTCGGGGCGCCAGCTTTCGAAGCGGGGCTTTGGGAAACTGGGGCCTTATCTTTGGGTTTGGGGGTTTGGGGTTTGGAGCTTCGGGTTCCTGAGGTGCCTACAACCGTTCCGACTACATCTTGAATGTCATGCCATCTCCTGTCATGACCTTAGCATACATCTTGGATGCACCGATGAACACAGGCGGCCAAAACAGATAATTCGACTTTGAATTGGTTTTGGCGGGGGTCAAAAGGGTGGCTAGGAGTGTTCTGGAGTAGATAGGGGGTTTCCAAAACGTGCGAAAGAAGAATACCCCAAAGTTAGACCCCCCCCCATCTTTACTCGGAACCCTGTTGGGAAGAACATCACTTGGGGAGGCGAAGGGAAGGGTTTGTTTTGGCACCTGGAAGGCCGAGGTGATCAACTGGCGCTGGAGTTTGGACCTCCACTCAAGAAAGTCTCAAAGGAGGTCCTGTTTGGGTTAGGGTTTGGGGTTTAGGATTTCGGGTTTAAGGTTGAGGGTTCAGGTCTCAGAAGTGCCAGGTGAAACGAAGCAAGCCAACAAATCCCCTGGCATGAACATCTACGCACATGATTGTTCCCAGCATGCAGGCGAGGGGCAGCTTGGCAATGTATGCCGGCGACTGATCTAAAGCCGCAGTGAGGTCTTCACCTCCGCGCTATCGTTGGCTGAGGTGGGCTAGGAGGGAAGGTGTGGGGCAGCTCTGTGTCACACCGCTGCCGGGTTGGTCTGTTCCTCCCTTCCGCAACTATCCTCTGCCTCTTCTGGTGAGCGACTCGCCAGAGCAAGGTGCATCAAGCAGAACCTTGCATTGCGGAGGCTCACAGACCCCCAAAACTGCAAAACCCTTCATAATGACATCGCATCCCTCAAACAGAACGCAAACACTCCAAGCCCGGCCGCTCCCCTGAATGCACCTGAGCCGCTGCATCAAAGGCCTCCGGCCAGGCCTTCCCACAGCTGCGACCATCCATCTGGGTCACGGCAGCCTCGCTAACCCTATCCGCATACCGGCGAGACTCTTAACGTCATACTATAATACGGATCAAGCATGCTGATGCTGCAGATGGGAAACCCATGGCATCGAACCTGTCCGCAGAAGGTTCTCCACCAGGGCCTGCATGCTCCGCTTAGACAGGATGTCTGAGGGCACTTCATCACAAGAGTGGGGCAAGCTCTCATCCAGGTCACGCGTTTTCTGCGTCATGTCCACAACATCGCCGCGACTCACGGGAGGACACCCGCCACAGGAAAGACAAGAGGTTCTTGTGCCCTTAGAATGGGGAATCCTCCTGTGATGCCTCCATCACAAGGCCAAAGCCCTCTCTGCCTTGCAACGGTCGACGTTCGGCTCATTGGCCACCACGGCGCCACTGCTTGGAGCCAGCCAGGCGGCCAAGGCCTCTGCAGTGTTTCTGTGCTTTTTCAGTGAGAGGATCCAATATCAACCCCCAAAAAATATGCATTACATTTGCGAAAACACACGCGCTCTCCACTCGCTCTCCACTCGAGCTCCACTCGCGCTCCACTCGCGCTCCACTCCCGGGCATCTCTCGGCCGCGTACTGTGGTCTTGCCGCCCGGCGCCGCTGACAGGTCCAGGACACGGAAACTCGAAAAGCCAGGGGGCACGGTGTACGGAGAGTTTTGTTTGACACGCCAGTAGGATGCTACTTAAGCCGCCAGGCCAGTCACCTAGCCGGTGGCGTGGCCCCCACTGCGTCCCGCAGCGCGGAAACCGGCAGCAGCGACGACGCCTCGCAGAATTCTCACAGACTTGTGATCACTTTTGTCCTCTCGCTGGAAGTCGTAGTCGTAGAATGTACCTATAGCAGGGGCCTCCTGCACGTAGACCCGGCCCAGCAAGGCTGCCGCATCCTCAGCTTCAAGGGGACATAGCCACAATGGGCCACTGTATGCCGCGCAGTATGCAGCAGCACCAAAAAGCTCAGAGAGTCGGAGAGCCTTTGACCAGCTCACGGCGCTTGGCGCGGAGGGTCGCACGGTGGAGCTAGCCTGATATCGAGTATTGAGGACATGTACATACATGTACTGTATGTTAGGACAGTAGTCATCGCGGAGCTCCCGCCTGCACCGTCGATCTCCTGCTCCCTTTCTTTGGCGCCTCAAGCAACGCTATCTCACAGTGCATCATTGACATCATTGCGTATCATTGCAAATGACACTGCATTGCTTCTGCACTTGCTGCCGCGTATGAAGCTGGAAACGTGAACAACTGAACAACGTTCTGCCGCATCCCTTCGCCCCTTCATGCCAACACCTTCTTCGCCGCAAGCTGCGCCCAGGCAGAGGGCAGCTCCTCCTTGCCAAGAAAAGCTTGGGGAAGCTCACAGAAAGGTCCGAAAAAGCCATAGGGCCTAATGGCATAGGCCTCCTTCTGATCAGACACGGAGAAGACACTGGGCTTCAAGGGCCTCGAAAAAGAACGCGCTCTTTCGTCTTTGCGCAAACCAACAAGGAGCACCTCTCCACAATTTTTCCCAGAGCACTCTGCTGCACTGTTGCACCCAAGGTGCTGTACCCAGTAACCGTCAGCGGCCCAGGGCACGGGGTCTGCAAAGAGAGAACTTCGCATGTCAGGGAGAGACGTGGAGCTGCGTGGAGCTGCGTTTACAAAGATCAGGTCAGGGTTGTGGCCTGCCAGCCGCCAGGTGTTCGCAGCACCAAGACAACGGACACCTCATTCTGCAAAAAGCCAGTGCTAGAATGTGAGAGGTCTACAAATTTTGCAATGCTTTGGGCTTGTCCCGAGATGGCTCTTTTTTACCCTCCTGAAAAAGCCCTGAAGAACCGCAGCTCCATCTGCCAAGAAGCTTCGCACGTCGCCACCCTTCAACGGATTCCTGACCCAGGAAAAGTAAAAACTACTCTAACTCGACTCGATATCTGAACACTGCGCCTTAAGGGAAGCTTCTCTCCACTTCCTCGTTCCACCACTCTCTCTGACTTTCTTCTGTCTCACTCTCTTCTGTCGCTCTCTTACTTTTGTCTCTCTCGGACTCTGTTCGGGCCGCGCGGCAGGCGCACGCAAGGCCGCAGGGGCCGTTGCGAGGCCTCCCGGAACGCCTCGCACCAAGAAGAAGAAGAAGAAGGTGGCAAGGAGAAGGCAAGGAGAAGGCGGCAAGAAGAAAGGGAGAAGCGATGAGCTGCTGGGGTTCCTTGAGGTTCCTCTTCAAGAACTTTCCAAGTCTTTCATGTCCGTTCATCTCCGTTCATCTCCTTTCACGTCCTTCGGACCTCTTGTCGGGTACAAAGACGCCTGTGGGCTGCTTTGATTTGTGGTTTCAAACAGCGGCTCAGGAACATTCGCGCAGAGCCCGGGGTCAGTTTGGGCCCAAAGCCTTAAAGGAAGAAAGGCCTACAAACAACAAGCCCTAAAGCCTAAAGCCTTCAAACCTAACAGAACCCTAACCGCCTTAAACTCTGGAAACCCAAACCCTACAAACCCCAAAACCCGCAACGCTAAAGCGCAAACTAAACACATAAAGCCGGAAAGTGAGAGACCCTTTGACCCTAACGCCTGAGAACAAGCCATCCCAAATCCCCAAACTTTACACTCACCGCCCTGAACCTTGAAAACCCTGAAAACCCTAGAACCGAAAACCCGAGGCTTGAAACCCAAAACCCTACAAACCCAAACCCTTAAGCTTAAAACCCAAGCCCTTAACCTTCAACCGCAGAAGCAAGTGACACTGAAAATGCAGCGCATAGTGACTTCAAACAGGGCGTGCCAAGTGCCGAAAATGCAGGGCTTTAGGTTGAAGGGTTTTAGGCTTCAGGGTCGAGGGCTTCTAGGGTCGAGGGCTTCTAGGGTTTAGGGCTTCCAGCGTTTAGGCTTTTCAAGTTGTTGTTGACCCTTGACCCTAACCCTTTACTTGGGTGGGCGCGGGCCAGGGTCCAGCTGACCAAACCTGACCTCAAGTCGCAGCCCTAGGCCTCCCAGGAAAAGTTCTCCGGCAGCGCTCCGGCAAACTGCGCTGTGAAGGACGCGGGGACCTTTGCATACTCTTGCACACTTCACAAAGCTGTGACAAAAACTGCCGCTGCAGAGCCGAAGGCGTTCCCTACACCTTGAAAGCCCACAAAAACCTTTCACATGCAGCAAGACCGGCTCTTGCACGAGCCTCCACCTGGGCCTTTGGCAGCGCAAAGCCCGGCGACGCGCACCACACAGAGGCTGCAGGCCACAGCCAGGGAGTTGTTGGGCGAGCAGGCTCAAGATTTGGGATTTCAGGTTTGAGGGCTTAGGGCTTTGGATTACAAGTACCCTCCAAGCAGGCCGCGAGCCGAGGGTTTGGGGTTTTGATCGTCGATACGTGTAACCACTGTAATTTGGGTGTTGGGTATTCATATGGGGTGCACTGTTGCACTTCAGATTTTGCATGGTCTAGGCATTGCAGTGCGCTGCAGCTGTGTGCACTACAAGTCGCAGGCTCAATTAATGGCTTTGGCAAGATGCGAGAGGGGGCCACTGCTGTAGTTGCATGTTTTGCCAAGCTCCACTCTTGGCCACGTGCCCTGCAACCTACACGCACGAATTCTCCAACCCCGCATTACCCTGGCAGCTCAATGTCGAAGAACATCACAAACGCCCTACTTTGCTGCTGCCTGCCAGGATGGCGATGCCACACGCCGCAGGTAATGCACGCCGGCGGGGTGTCATGGCTCAAGAACTAGATGCTTTCATAGGTCCCGGGCTTTTAATAACGTGGCTGCCCTCAGCAAGAGAACTAGCTTCTTGAAACCTAATAAAGAAGCACAGAAAGACATACAGTAGCCACTTATCGGCGACATCAGAGCCCAACTGATCAAGAACCCAAGGCAACACCCCAGACTGGTTTTGCAGACTGTCTCAACTGTCCGTGAAATTTTTTCGCTCTGCACGTTGCGACGAGCACCTAGATTTCGGGCCTGGCACGCAATGCAGGGGAATTATCAAACTTAAGGGCACGGGGTCAGGGAGAATGCATGCCTCAAGACTTTCAGGTGACCGTGTTTCTAAGCCGAAACGTGTGCACATATTAAGATCCTGAACCTCAGCTGCTTCGGCTCAAAAAAACCTCCTGCGAAAAGAAACACAACAAAACGGGCTGGAGCAGTAGCTTGATGGTCTTTGAACACATGCAGCAATGAATACTGCAATTTTGAGGGGCTCACGATCAACGCCAAACCAGGCCCCAAGCCAACTCGACGTCTTAACGACTACGCCCGTGCACGTTTTGTTTCCGACCCCGAAGAGAAAAGAGCACTGGTAGGATGGAGGGAGAAGTGGAAAAACACCTTCATAATCTTTGCATTAATATGACCACACCAATGGGGCTGAGTTGAACTCCCCCAGGTTAAGTTCTTGAAGTTTTTTGTTCCAAAGACCCAGGGAAGCAGGTCCCCCCTTCGGACTCTAAGGCCGTAAAATTTGAAGCCCACAAACTGAAATCCCATCACAAGCGAAGGAGCTTGTGAATTTATAGACACGCAACGAAACTTCGAGAACCCATTGATGACTAAAATCCAAACATCTTTGTTGTGGCCTCCACTATGCAGGTTCCGCCTCTCTGAGTGCTCGACAACACTTTCGGCTGTCCGGAGGTCATGATTTCCCAAGCTGGAAGTGGACCAATCACAAGGCAAGATGGTTCAATTTGCAAATTTTCGTGGGCAACAATTTGACTCTTGCAAAGGTTGACCCTTCAGCTCTTTTCTTGAAATTATGTATTTTCCTTAATTTTTGTTTGAAGCAAATTTAGCGTGGTTCATCTTGAAAATCTCAAATTGACTCCGGTGTTCTGCTCGCTAGCGCTTGCACATATTCACTACTACTACTACTACTACTACTACTACTACTACTACTACTACTACTACTACTACTACTACTACTACTACTACTACTACTACTACTACTACTACTACTACTACTACTACTGCTACTACTGCTACTACTGCTACTACGACTACGACTACGACTACTACAACTACTACAACTACTACAACTACTACTATTACTACTTCTTCTACTACTACTACTACTACTACTACTACTGCTACTACTACTGCTGCTACTACTACTACTACTACTACTACTACTACTACTACTACTACTACTACTACTACTACTACTACTACTACTACTACCCACTCCTTGTGGATGCATACCCATCGCTGGTGATTCCTCCAGGGAGGCCCTTGGGCGTCGCGCGCAACTTTCAGCCATCAATAGCGCGGTTGAATTCGTTTCGATCTGCTGTCAAGAGACGTCGTCTAACTCTTTCAAAAACACTTGTTTCAAGTGTTTTTGGTTGTCTCTGCGCCTTTCTTTCTCCTCTTCTACCTTCAGGTCCTGCAACCAAAACTGTTTAATCTGAAACCCAATATGGGCGCAGCAAAACTGATCAAAAAGGTAGGTAAGCTTCATTCACAGTAAGTTGAACAAACCTGGGTTGAATTTTTTTCCGAGTTGAGCGAACAAATGCGATCCACCGTCTTGGTGTTTGGGTTGTGAAAACCGTGCCTCTGTACTGGCACTACTGATGGCCCTCTTGGCCCTAAAGTACAGGGGAGGAAAAACCTCCTCCTAGGCTACCATCCTCTTTGGGATGCTACCAGAGGCTGTACCTCATGAGAGGAATGAAACCTCCTGGCAAAGAGCTCCTCAGGTTTTTGATGCAGGGGGTGCAAACCGTGAGAGGAGGGCCAGGGGTGCTCTCTGGCAGCGAGGATGAACCTCAGCTTATCATCCTCTTTGGGATGCTACCAGAGGCTGGTACCTCACGAGAGGTTAGGAACCTCCTGACAAAAGGTCCCTCAAGGCCTTTGGTGCACTTTGTGCAGGCTGTCAGAGGGAGGCGGTCAGGGTTCCGCTCCGGTAGCGAGGATGGTACCTCTTTACTGTCCTCGCTGGGAGGATGCAACCTCCTAGGCTGCATCAGCTGGTGGTTCCCGCAGTGGAACCAACTCCCAGCGAGGCTCCTCCATGATGTTGCCGAGGGGTCGTGCTAGCCCATAGTCTGGCGACGGCAACTCATACAGGACTTTCATGTCGATGAGAGCCTCGACAAACACCATGTCCATGTTCTTTAACTCCCACAGCAACAGGCTTGCCAGCATGGGGATGCTGGCATGGTGGAGGCTGACCCACCTCTTGACTTTGCTGCTAAGGGTGGGGGAGTCTTGGTCAAACCACCGGAAGAACGAGACGAGCCGGGTTTGGCTGGGGAAACCATAGTGTTCCCTCGTGCTCCAGTTGGCTACGTCCAGGGACGTTAACCGGTGGTACTTGGCCATTCCCAAGTACCCCCAGTTATGCTCCCCTTGATCTCGGGGATGGAGGTACCCCTCCGGAAGGCGTAGTCCGCACCAGAAGCACAACATAATGCACATCTGGAGGAACGAACCGTCCGGTGTTGGGCGGATGGGGGCCACCATCCGCTCAACGGTGTAGGCCCTCAGGTCCTGGGCTGGGAGCCCAGGCACCTCGACCTGGAGGGAACCTCCGGCAGACCTGGGGCCAGGAGTCGAGGGACAGCGCAAACAGCTCCCACTCGAAACTCGAAGTGGCGGGCATCTTGGGGGCCCACCTTCAGGACCCAACGCGGTTCCCGGTCAAGGGTAAACACCACCCTTGACCCTCCCCGAGCAAGCATGGTCAGGTACCGGATCTTGCCCTGGACCTCATACGAGGCCTGGTCGGGCATCTGGTTGGCTAGGCCATTGCCTCGACTGCTTGCTCGGAGGATAAGGTTACCTCCCTCGTTATAGGGCCTGGTGCCCGTGTTAAGGTCTGCCGGGGGCTCCTGGTCCTCCTGGTCCTGCTCCTCCACTGCGGCAGGCTCCGGACTGGTTTCGAAGGTATCCCCTGAGCTCTGAACTTAGTCCCATTCTCGGGAGGCCCCCCACCAGCTGGAGGACCACCCTCCGGACCAATGCTCGTCCCCCCATTGCTGCCATCCTTCCCATTCTTCGTGCCCCCATCCAGGGTGGGCGGCACGTTTGGCTGGCGGTGGCATGGTGGGACCGTTTGGACTGCCTCGGAGACAGCCTGCTGCCTCTGAGCCCTGGCTTTCTTACCCGGCCTATTTCTCTGCCTCTGCAAGGTGTAGTCATCTACGAACCTCTGCGCCGGGGTCCTGCGTTCGAGCAGGAACTCTCCCTTGCCTTGGGCTTTGCCGGGCTGCCTGCTCGGAGGAGGAACCTCCCTCTTTCTATTCTCCCAAGCCTTTGCCTCCGGAGGCTGCCCCTCCCCTGCCGGTGTTGTGGTTGGCAGTTCCTGGTTGTTTTCCTCCTTTGTCTCGGCAGGGGCTGCATTGGAGGAGGCACTGGCTTGGGAGGGTAGCCCCTCCTGAGTGTCGTCGCCGGTGGGGTGGTGTAGAGCCTTTGGTTTCTGGGGGGCCCCACCCTCCGGCTTTTCTTCTTCACTCTTCACTGGGGCCTCCTGGGCCTCCTGGCCCTGGGAGGGCAGGTCCTCCTGCTTCATTTCCGCCATTGCGCACGGGGGGGTTGGGCCCTTCTACTGGCTTGGCTGCCTGCGCTGGCTGCGGATGGGATTTGTCGTTTCTGGCTTGAGTTGCGACTTACATCGGGAGTCCTTTTTAAAACAACAAGCTGCAGCAAGTTTTTGCGAAACCGTTCGGGTTTTTAGGGACAGCTAAACCTGGGTTGAATTTTTTTCCGAGTTGAGCGAACTAGTGCGAACCACCTCCTTGGTGTTTGGGTTGTGAAAACCGTGCCTCTGTACTGGCACATCTGATGGCCCTCTTGGCCCTATGGTACATGGGGAGGAACAACACCTCCTCCTAAGCTACCATCCTCTTTGGGATGCTACCAGAGGTTGTACCTCATGAGAGGAATGAACCTCCTGGCAAAACGTTCCTCAGGGTTTCTGGTGCACTGGGTGCAAACCGTGAGAGGAAATCGGCCAGGGGTGTGTTCTCTGGCAGCGAGGATGAACCTCAGCTTATCATCCTCTTTGGGATGCTACCAGAGGCTGATACCTCATGAGAGGTTAGGAACCTCCTGACAAAGGGTCCCTCAAGGCCTTTGGTGCACCCTGTGCAGGCTGTTAGAGGGAGGCGGTCAGGGGTGGTTTCTCTGGTAGCGAGGGTGACCTTCACTTTATCCTCACTGGGAGGATGCAACCTCCTAGGTTTGTTCAGCTGCCGGTGCCTTCAGGGATTTTGCACAGGGGGTCTGCTGCAACTTGGGCTGTCCCTTGCACCTGCTGAAAGAGGCCGCGGATGGCATTGGTTGGCTCGGGCTTAAACTGCGCCTTGCACCTGGGGTCCTTTTTAAAACTGCATGCAACTGAAAGTTTTTGCGAAACATTTTAAACCTGCTGGGTTGAACCCAGGTTTCAACCCGGTTCGGAGAACCCCAGCACAACTCAGACCCTTAAACTAGTTCGAATTTTTTTTTCCGAGTTGAGCGAACAAATGCGATCCACCGTCTTGGTGTTTGGGTTGTGAAAACCGTGCCTCTGTACTGGCACTACTGATGGCCCTGTTGGCCCTAAAGTACCGGGGAGGAAAAACCTCCTCCTAGGCTACCATCCTCTTTGGGATGCTACCAGAGGCTGTACCTCATGAGAGGAATGAAACCTCCTGGCAAAGAGCTCCTCAGGTTTTTGGTGCAGGGGGTGCAAACCGTGAGAGGAGGGCCAGGGATGCTACCAGA